AAAACAAAAACAAAAACAAAAACAAAAAAACAAAAAAGACTTTAATATTAAGAGTTGTTAACATAAAGTTATCAATTCCTATTGTTTTGTTGCTCCAGGTGTCCTCTTTGGTACAGTTAACCTCCTCTTCAGACCGAAGCTTTCCTTCTAGTACCTTCTATAGAGCTGCGATGGTGGATAGAAATTGTATTTAATGATGACATGCTTTCTACATCAACTGTGATTAATAGTTTTGCTGGGTATAGTAGTGTAGGCTAGTGTCTGTTGTCTTTTGGAGTTTGTAAAAATCTGTCAAGGCCATACTGCCTTTCAGAGTCTCTAGTAAGAAGTCAGGTGTTATTCTAATGGGCCTGACTTGATAGGTGAGTTGGTCTTTTCCCTTGCAGGTTTTGTATTTTTTCTTTGTTTCTGTACATTTAGTGTTTTGATTATTGTGCACCTTAGGGAATTTCTTTTCTGGTTCTGTCTAATTGGTGCTCTTTATGCTTATTTTGTATTGATAGGTACCACTTTGTAAAGATGAAGGGAGTTTTTCTTTGATTTTGTTAAAAATATTTACTGTATCTTTGACTTGGCTTCCTTCTCTTCCCTTTATACCTATTATTTGTAGACTTACTCTATTCATAGTATCCCAGAATTTATGATTCATGAATGTTTTGTCCTTCTTTTTCTTTTTTTGTTTGTTTTTGAGTTAACTTTTTCTTTCACGTAGCTATTCATTTCTTCTACCTTGTCTTCAAGACCTGTTATTCTATCTTCCATGTCTTTTAATCTGTTGGTGAGGCTTACCTCTGAGGTTTTTGTTTGGCATCCTGAAGAATTTGGAACTGATTACATTAGCTTAAGTACTCATAATTTTCTACTATACTGTCTATATTAATGATCTGTGCAGAGGTGCATTTAGCTCCACAGCCATGGATTTAATACTTGAGTGGGAACTTGCTCATACACAGCCTTTAACCCAATGTATTCTACACACAACTATATCATAAGCTGTCACCCTTTCTCGTCTAGGTATTGCTTGACCTTGCTAGCTTAATTTTCGAAGAGCAGCAGTCATTAGAAGTAATTCTGAAGAAAATAGCTGCCACTATCATCTCCTTCATGCAGGTGCAGAAGTGCACCATATTCATCGTGGATGAAGACTGCTCTGTGAGTACGGAGTGTGACTGGTGTTTGCAAGATGGAAACGTATCATTGAAAGGACTTCCTGCTTTTAAACCGAGTTTTTGCCTTAGAACCCACTCCAGTACAACTGCATATGAATATTTATGCAAAACCAAAACAAGCATAAAATGGTTTTGAAACGGAGTGGAAGTGAGGGCGGGAAGAGCATTCAATGCGCTGCCACTGACCATGGATGTCTATGTACTGCCCCTGACAATGGCTGCTCTGCTTTAACGGGGAAACACCTTGGTCAAGAACTGTGGTGCCCTGGTACCTAAAATAGGTAGACTCCCATTCTGATGGGTTGAGGATGAAATTTTCTTTCTTGCCAGAAATTATTTAGAAGCGAGGAGGTCTAGGTGGGTGGTAGGTAGAACTAAAAGTATTTGTAAGTTCTATATCATTTACCAACAACATGAAATGACCGTTCCCATTCACAGATTTCAGTCTGTTGATTTCTATTGTTAGAAAGCTTTCCCTGGTGAGAGGCTGGAGCTCTCTCATAGGGCTGGTTACTTGTACTTGAATGTTATGTGGAGTTTCTGCCTTGTGTTTGCCTGGGAGTCAGAGGGCTGGCCTCGGAAAGTTTTCTTTATGCAGATTTTATCCCTCCTCACTGTATGAACCAGTGGAATATTCCTTATGGTGGGAATTGTTTCTTCCTATAGTCTAAGGTTATTAGGAAAAAAGATTAGAACTGTCACTTGGATATGTCAGTTATAATTAATTTATGAAATTGGAGTTGTCCTTTCTGGCAGAAGTAGAATAATAAAAGACATTCAGTCATTTAAATTTTTAATTGGCTTAGATATTAAGATAATTCATTATCCTCTGAATTATTGCATGTATTAGAATGGGTGCACTGATTAAAATTCTTCTTGTTTATCAAATAAAAATTCACTGTACCAAAACAATAATCAGTATTTTCATGGAGAGCTATTAGTTCATATTTCTATTCAGTTAGTTATAATTTAATATAAAATGATTACAAAATAGTTGCTAGCTTTTTAAAGTTCAGGTCAGATTTCATTAATTTGATATGCCAATTTATCATTTTCCTTCTGTGGGCTGCTCTTCAGCATTTAAATTTTTAAAGTTTTCTACAAAAGCATTCCTTTAAAAAGAAACCAAAATCACACTTTATTAACACTCAATGGAATTTTTAACAGTTAATATTCAAGGTAACAAGCTGGTTTAGATCAGAGTGGCCCTCGGCTCAACAGTATGGCTAAGAATATACTCTTCTCTCTTTGGAAGACATACATTTTTAGATTTAGGCAATAAACTAGTTGATGTTATATTACAGTTATTTGCGGTTTAAAACTACTTCAACATGAGTGAAATTAAAAATGTAAGACCCTCGAAATGTACTCAGTTTGTCCACTTCCAGATTATAGCTTTATTTCTCTTCATTCAGGTGTAAGTACAACATGGAGCAATAAGAATCTTGTTTTGTGACATAATGCAAAACTATTTCCTGATATCACTAAGTCTTCATAATTATTTTATTGCTCTTGTAAAGTATTTCCAAGTGGTATAGCTCTTTAGGAAAGAATTCTTTGGGCTGAGGAAATAGCTGAGCCAGCAAAGCTCTGACCTGGAAAGCTTAACAGTCTGAATTTGATATCAGAACAATGCCAACGAGTTGGTGCAAGCTTGTAATACCAGTGCTTGGGAGGAGAGAAGGGATCCTTAGAGCTCATCAGTCAGTCAGTCAGCCAGTTCAGTCAGTCAGTCAGGCTGGTGATCGTCAAGTTAAAGGAGGTTGACAACATTCCTGAGGGTGACACCAGAGGATGTCCACTGGCCTTCACAATTCTCTCTCTCTCTCTCTCTCTCTCTCTCTCTCTCTCTCTCTCTCTCTCTCTGTCTGTCTCTCTCTCTGCTCTCACATACACATACCCCCCCACACACACGAGTACACATGCATATGAACACATGCAGACATGAACACACAGCTCTCACATACACATACCCAAACACACACACGAGTACACATGCATATGAACACATGCAGACATGAACACACAAACTGGCATATACATACACCCATGAACACACATACAATCACATACATGCACACTCACACTCATAGACTCTCATGAACAACATGCACACACACATAATCAACACACATTTACACATACACACTCATGGACACACACATGCACATGAACACACACACACACACACACACACACACACACACACACACACACACACACACACACACACACATCCATAAAGAAAATGCGTGGGATTTACTAAGTGCATACTCAGAAATCTCTTTAGAAGTAAAATGAGAAGTGCTTTGAGCCTTTAATAATAGAAAGCATATTTGAGGATGTTGTGAATTTTGTGCTTGAATCCATTTAGTCCAAGACTATGGAAAATATGTTCAACCATTGGCATCCTCAGTGTTGTACAGCATGTGTGTGTGTGTGTGTGGTGTGGTTTTCATGGCTTTGTCAGATGTCTCAACCCATGTTGCTCTTCTGTTTTCAGGACTCTTTCTCTAGTGTGTTCCACATGGAGTGTGAGGAATTGGGAAAATCAGCTGATACTTTAACAAGGTAAAATAGCTTCTCTGTTGGTCTATATCGCATTATATTGTGCTGCTAAATAATTGCCTTGTCGCTAGTGTGACTTAAGGTGTGTGAGTGACAGGCTGTCTCCCCCGCAAAGATAATTTTTATTTCTCAGAATACACTTTTGATATTACTATGCAAGAGTTTTCTACTACATTGATCTGAGAATTATTTTTTATAGTAAATAATACCTTAATTAGCACAGGTCCCATTCAATTGTTATTATGAACTCATTCAGCTAAGACCCACAAGTACTGTTCTTCAACTATATTTTTGTTTGTGTATATGGAAATACCATAGATTCCCTGGCAACTCTTTCTGTAAATCTATTCTGAGTTGTAATCAGCCATGAGAATTTACCTAGTAACAGAAGGAGGCTGATAATCCTAATCTTAGAAATCTGTGTTGCTCCTCTGGCTAGATCAAATAAGATCTTCTATCCATCCAGTTCTTCTTCATAGTTTCTAAATGTGTGCTCATTTGTCTCTTAATTGCTGTTATGGTGAAAAGTGTGTGCTGTGTTTGCACGATGTGTAGTTATCCTCATCTGGCAAGTACTTTCTGGAAGCTTTGATGGATTTAGGGCAAACTACTAAATGTTCTTACTCATATTTTTTCACTCATACCTAAAAATTATATTGTTCTCTCTCTCTCTTTTTTATTTTGGTTTTTCGAAACAGGGTTTCTCTGTGTAGCTTTGGAGTCTATCCTGGCACTCGCTCTGGAGACCAGGCTGGCCTCGAACTCACAGAGATC